CTTTCGGGCATGCAACATTAAGATCTCGAAAGTCTACGCACACACGGATCTAGCCATTCTTCTTGCGCACGGGCACAATGCTAGATATCCAAGTTGGATAATTAACTTCGCGAATGAAACCAGCTTCTATGAGCTTGTTGACTTCTAATTTGATTGAGGGAATGAGCTCGGGACGAAAGCGCCGTTGAGCTTGCTTAACCGGGCGACACCCCTTTTGCACTGCCAGGCGGTGCATAGCTACCTTTGGGTCTAACCCTGGGCATCTCCTTGTATGTCCACGCGAATATATCAATATATTCTTTCAGAAGTGTGACATATGTTTCTTCATCTTCATTCGAAAGGAGTGCACTAATGAAGATAGGCCGGGGATTTTCAGGAGTTCCTAGATCAACCTCTTTTAGTTCATCTACTGCGGCATGTACTCCTTCTTCTAACTCTTGGGGTGCATCCTCTGCATCTTCACCCTCAGCCGGGATCTCATAAGACAATGTTATGTGAAATGATGATGCCGCCTCATCTTGATTTGGTGTTGCCACATAACTTGAATCAATGTCTTCTTGATTTCTTCCTTGCACTCGGGTGTGTACAATGGTTCTTGGTTGGACCTTCAGAACTTCACCACACGAGACATCGATATTAACTTCTCATTTCGTACAAGACGGAACTGCACTCCTGAGCCTTTTTTAGGGTTCCATTTCAGTAGGAGGGTTGGTCTGCTCCTTCGAAGTTTAAGTAGGCCCAATTCTATCATGTACTGATTTTCTCTTAGCAGGTTTGGGATTTGACCCAAGTCTACGGAAGACTGATTGTCATGATTCTACATCTCCGATTCTATCAAAAACGTATTGCTTCTTGTCATTTTCCTCCTCCTCCGTAGAAGTGATGCAGTTACTTGTGGCTCTGTTTATGAATATTCGCACTGGCTTAGGGGAACATAACCCAATCCTTTGCGCACATGTGGTTATTGCTGGTTTGACTTGCCTTTACCGCCAGCTTCTGGGATGAGTTTCCCCAGCTTCTGTGGCTCTTTAGGATTATATCCTGCTTTGAATAGAAGTTTATAAGCATTGGGGTCGAAGCAGCCAGTGCCCTTAGCGGGCAACGTTTGACTTGTCCCAACTTGAGCTTCATCTTCAAGCGGTTTAATTGGTGCTGCTTTTAATGTTTCAATTTTTGCAAGTGGGAAAACAAGTTCCTTATCACAATGTGATTAGTCTACGACTTATTTGCCTTTCCACTTTGGATCAGGAGCGTTGTCGGCACTGCCATGACCAGCCTATTCTACAACAGCTTGTTTCTTCAAGTAAAACTTCGCATCTGCAAAGTACAACTCCGCTTCGGTGAATGGAGTCTCATCAGCGACTACCTTTTCTATCACACCGCCTTTTCTCAAACATGAGGCATTGGTACCAGGATGAGGGGACTACTCCGTTTTCATGTATCCAAGGCCGGCCAAACAACAAATTTTAAGACGTCTTTGCATCTATCACATAACACAGGGTGCTAAAATTCAACGCTCCGACCCTGAGATCAAGCCTGATGGTACCTAGTGCCCCTTGACCACCTTGATTAAATCCTTGAATCATTAAGCGAATTTGAGAGAGCTCATCAATGGAGATGCCAAGTTCCTTCATATCCCGGAGTGACAGAATGTTCACAGCCGATCCTTGATCAATCAAAATCCTGTTGATTTTTTGCTCGGGGGCATAACCTTAGACGAACAATGGGCGATTCTGTGGTGTACCGCCAAGCAATAGATCTTCATCTTTAAAATTTATCTTGGCAGTATAAGACGCGGCTTTGTGGACTTAAACCTTGTCACTTCCTTCAATCATGGGGAATGAACATTCCCCCTCTTCAACATGTCTCTCTTTAATATTCAATCGAGTTCCAGGAATATTTGTCCCATGCGGACAAAATTCCTTTGGCATATACTGAGCCAGAGTGACTGGTGTTCATGACTTGTTGGGACGTCCTTTCTTCTTTGTATCATAGACAGGATCCCTTGTTGGCCTTTTCTCAACCCATCGCTTTGTCATTTTCTTCAACGATCTAGCATCTCTAACATCGTTCTTCTACTTTCTATGGGTAACCAATACCCAATCCTTTTTGAAAATAGGATCAACCTGGTGTGACTTTGGATGCTTCCCAACGACATGTTTCACAATAAATGGGAATGGACATTTGTATTGCGTGCCCCCATCATCTTCGTCACTTTCTGAAAGTAATTGGAGCAAACCTTCCACATGAAATTTGTTAGTTCTTGCAGTTGCATCAGTAAGCTCAATCTTTCCATCGCGAGCAAGCCCCATCACCTTATCCTTGAAAACAAAACATTTTTCAATCGGGTGTCCGAGGAGACGATGATACTTGCAATAGTTGGGGTCGTCCACCCTAGAAGCTTCTTCGAGACGCTTCATTTATGGTAATTCAATCAACTTGAGTTTTAACAACTCATCAAACATGGGAGACACATCAGAATCTAAGAACGAATACTGTTTTTGCTGCATCTCTTCAATGATTCTAATTCCCCTTGATGGGCGAGAAAATGACCTTAGCCTTGGATTTTCAGTCACTTTGGTGAAAACCCGCATTGGTCCTGTTTTCACGTTCATGGCTTCCTTCTTTTCTTGATTAGGGAAGGGCTTGCCCCCTTTCTTGACTTCTTGTTTTGCAGGTGCCTTGGATGAGCTAGGTATACTTGACATGCTGAACCCTCCATTAGCTTCAATACTCAATTCCATGTCATGAGCACGACTGGATAGTTCTTCAAATTTTTTAGGCTTGATTCCTTACAAGATGTAAGAGAACTCGAAGTGCATGCCTTGGATGCACATTTCAATTGCAGAGCTTTGTGATATCCTCTCTTTACAGTTGAGGCACAACTCCCTCCATCCCTGGATGTAAGCGCCTGCATGCTCACCCTTCCATTGGCGGGTGGTGGTGAGTTCCAAGAAGCTGACAGTCTTCTTGTGCTGTAGAAGTGGGTCAAGAACTCGCGTTCCATATCATTCCAGCTATCAATGCAACCATGCTCTAGGTCGGTGTACTAATAAAAGGCAATGCCCTTCAGAGATCGGACGAACTGCTTGACAAGGAGATCTCCGTAAGTTCCCGCATCGTTGCAGGTTTCAACGAAGTGGGCGATGTGCTGCCTTGGGTTGCCTTTTCCATCAAACTATTGGAACTTGGGAGGTTGGTAGCCCAACGACATCTTCATTTCTTCAATTCTCTGAGTATATGGCTTAGTGTAAGTGTATGAAGATTGTCCTCCCTCGAGCTTCCCTATAATCCCTCCCATGACGTAGTCATTCAACTGCTCGACAAGTATCATACCCTCAGAAATTGGAATACTCTTCTCAGCGAGTGGTAGACGAGAGATTGCCTCTTCCATTCCTGGCCTACTTTGATGACGCGGTGACTCGACATCAATCTCATCTCCCTTGGGTTTGAGGCTGCTTCCCGGAAGCTCGATTTGTTTCGCCGTTTCTTTCGCTTTCAACCTTTTCGCATAGCTCATTGATCCTCCTTTCTTGGTTATGCATGAGTACAGTTATCCCCTCAAGAGCTTTGGTGATGTTTGTTAGTTGTTCCTCCACCGAAGTCGCGTTCGTTGTCATATCGGGCACGATTGTGTAGATGTGAGTCCATTCAGATGATGATCTCTACAGAGGTGATGACTATAATGAGCTTCCACAGCTTGCAGTTCTATTCGAGGGAGTATGGCTCGTAGGACTCCTGTTGCTGGGAGTTCCTTCGCTTGTAGGATTATTGTCGCCAACAGCTTCCTTTGTAGAGGATGAACCCTTGTCATGTGTGGCTCTTCATGGCATGGTGGAGTTTCTGTCAATCCTTCGAACGATGTGGCGAGCGATGTCCTGGGCCTCGTACAACTGCACTCCTAGTTTCCTCATTCGGCTTCGAGTCATTGCTCCTTCCACGTCTTGGCTATCATCGAAACCGGCCAGTGATGATGCCTTGGAGCGGGTAGCCTGAGCATAGGTCATCTTGGAGGAGGGATTTCTTGATGCCATTTGGATTCCTTCCTTATAGAGCCCGCGAGTCAACAGTGAAGAGATGAGAGGCAGAGTGGTCCCACTGGGCGTGCCAAAATCTGTAAACACAAAAAATAAACTTTGTATATATTTCACAAAATCTGTTTACTGTGTATGTATAATTCAAAGTGCGGGTAAAAAATCTCTGTGTGGTCCTCTGATTCTTCACTAACGTTATCTACTGAATTGCCTCTGGGATTCCAGCAGTGGTGCTTGCCTCCGGGATTCAATTGGTGTGATCTTCAACAGCAAACGTCAAACTTAGAAACAATCAACCCTGCAAAGTTTCAAAGCACATGCAATGGATTCAAGTTGCCTTAAGATCCTTAAATGCCTTCAAAAGACTTCAAGATCTTCGAGACAATCAACTCTGCAAAGCTTCAAAGTACCTGCAATGGATTCAAATTGCCTGCAAAATCTTCAAAAAATGTCTTCAAGTCTTCAAGCGTTCTTCAATGCCTTCAAGCTCTTCAAATGCTCTCAACTCCTTAAGTCTTCAAGTTGTGTTTTGGAATGTCAAATGAAAGCCCTATTTATAGCTGTAGGTCTAACAAAAATTCCTCAACAAACTCCCCTTTTTAATTAATTAGTTAATTATTTATTTAGGAAAATCAACCTTGCCCAAAACCAAGTCTAGGTTCATTATTGTATAATCTAATTCAAATTCAAATTAAAGTATAATTATTTAATTCAAATATAACAAAATTATATTTATTTAAATTATAACTATAATTATGATTCGAATATGAAATGAGTTTCGACCAATTTAATTAATTAATTCAATAGTCCAAGATCAAATTCAATTGGACTAATCAGATGAATTTAATTTCTATTATCCAATTAATTAAATTGGCCCAACAATTAACCTCAAAATTAAGCCCAATAATAATTTTATCAATCTATTTATTGGGCTCAAATTTTCTGCGTCTTTACATACATCTTGAATCTTGGTCTGAAGAGGGGTATACCTTACCTGTTATTGTTCTGCACAAGTGTAAATGGCCTGAAACTCTCATGTGATTTGCAGTTGAAAAGTTCACAATTGAACGTGTAAATAAAGCTGGTGCCGTTTTTGATTCCACAAAGTTAAGGTAATGCTTTTCTTCAGCTATTTGCTTCTGATTACTTAATCTGCATTTTTAGAGGATTGCAGGAACACCTGTTTTTATGATACTGTTTAGATGTGTTATTTCTTCTCAACTTGTTAGTTTCTGTAATCTGAGATTTATTTGTTAGCTAGGCTTTGTAAAATGTTTTGGTTTTTTGACACTTTTCCAATGTAAATGTATACGTAGGTGGATGAATGGCCAACATTTGAGATCTCTACCATCAGAAGAGTTAATACAAATCATTGGTAGCTGCCGGAAGGATGCTGGCATTCTTACATAATCAGGGGGGATTTCATACAAGTAGGGTTTGTCCGTAAATGTCAATTAGGGGTGACCACGGTTCAAACCAAAACCATTACTGTGCTAATTGGAATTGAATTGGAATCGTCCCTACGGTTCCGGTTCCGATTTCAAATTGGAACCTATAAGGTTTCGGTTAAGATTTTCAAAATATTAGAACCAGATGGTTCCGATTCCAAACAGAAAAAAAAAAAATTTAAAAATGACATAAAAAAGCTGCATGCCTGCAGCCAGCAGACTAGCTCACTGCCACACGGCAATGGGGCAGACTGGAGTACGGGAGTCATGCGCTGATGCGCATAAAGCCAACTGGCCAGTAGGGGTGACCACAGTAACCGAAACCGTTATTATGCTAATTGGAACCGTCCGTATGGTTTCGGTTCTGGTTCCAATTAAGATTTTTAAAATATTCAAATCGGAACCGTCTGTTCCTGTTTCCAAACAGAAAAAAAATATTAAAAAAATAAAAAATAAAATATAAAAAAGCTGCTGGCTGCAGGCGCCTGCAGCCAGTAGACTAACGCAGAGTGGAGTACGGGAGTCACTGGACAACCCCGTGACTCCCGCGCATGCGCTAATGCGCATAGAACCAACTGGCCAGGCCAGTTGGCTTTATGGATAAATGCAAAAGTTTTGCCTTTATCCATAATCCAATTTCAGTTTCCATTTTCCAAGATAGCCAACGGCTATCTTAGAGGCCAAAGCTGAGGACTGAGTGTTTGCACTCAGCTTTGAGTCTGGTCGACAAGACTCAAAGTTGAGTCTTTGTCACTCATGTTCTGAAATTTTTAAATTTTGAAAATGATAGTTGAAAAACAGCTAGTTTTTAAAAAAATTTAATGTTTCACCATTCAGGCATTCACTCTTCAGACTTCACCTTTTATAAATGCGTGAATTCAACAAATATTTAATTCACCCAAAATTTTAGTATCTCTCTCATTCTCTCAAACTCTCAATACTCTGAATTCTTATTCTCTTACTTTCTCATTCTACGAAATTTGAATACTTGCAACTTGCCTACATTTCCTACAATTTTCAATACTTACTTTCACTGAACTCTTATTATTTATTTCTACATTTTTTATATCTCTAAATTTCTACTTCTACCATTGATAGTTCAAGTAGAGCATCTTTTTCTCAAGAGGGTCAAGGTAGCGGGAGTCGTGAAAATCGTGGCAAATCTACTTCTTCTTTTGAACCTCCATGACATTCCGTTCATGGATTTTCAAGAGAATCACCTTATCTTGAACCTCCACAGCATTCATTTCAGGGATTTCAAAGCGAATATCAATACCACCTTATCTTACAAAGACTTAAATGACCCTCAACGTGCCTCTTTTGACTCTAATCCCTTTCTTAAACCAATCATACTACCAAGACTTAAACCCAAACCCTCAACTAGTTATAAATGACCCTCAACGTGCCTCTTTTGACTCTAATCCCTTTCTTTCTTCTTTTGAATCTAACAATCCTACTACTGAAGAATTTTCGCTGGGCCAGGATAATGAAGGCGAAGAAGTTCAACCTTCCATTCCTTCCAAACTAAAATCTGATATTTTCAGGGTACACATGACGAAAGTTGAAAAACCTTATGGAACAACGGTAGTAAAATGTAATTATTGCATAAGGAGTACAATTGGTCGAAATCCGGTGGCTACGGGACATACCGAAAGCATATAAACTCAAAGCATCCTGACAAAGAGGTAAATACCCAAACACAACAACAAATTGGCAGGTACACAACTAAATCTAATGCTTTATTTCGTTACACATATGAGAACTGTAGATCCATGTTTGCTGAAATAGTTGCAATAAATGGTCTACCTTTTAGTTTTGGTCAAAAAGTGGGTTTTAAAGAATTTTGTCGGGGTGCATTAATTCTCCAAATGTGTGATTTATCGCGTACAACTGTTGCTCGTAATATTTATAAATTATATAAAACTGGAAAAAAAATTAATTTCTTTTTTGGAAACACATTCTGGGCTGGTGACTATTAGTGCTGATATTTGGAGTGATCATTGGAGAGAACATTCATATTTAGGTGCTACACGTCATTAGGTAGATCATGAATGGGTGCTACAAAAACGAATTCTTGCTTTTCGTTGTTTTGATGAATCACACACTGCACACAATATTTATAGTAAGTTGCAGGGTATTTTTGATGAATACAAAATTACTAACAAAATTTTTGCAGTTGGTTTTGATAATGCTTCTAATAATACTGCTGCAATCCCTGAACTTAGGGAGTTATGTGGTCCATATTTTGGAGGTAAATTTTTCCATCAAAGATGTGTTTGTCATGTTTTAAATTTATGTGTTCAAGCTGGGTTACAATCACTTCAAAGTAGTATTAAACCCATTAGAGATGCTATTCTTTATTTGTGGAGACATCCAAATGCACAAAACGAATTTAATAGATTTTGAATATAAAAAAAAAAAAAGTAACTAAAAAAATATTTCCTCAAGATATACCAAATCGTTGGAATTCTACGTTTCTTTTGCTCAGTAGTACTATTCTTTAGAAAGAGTTGCTAAGTTCTTTTTTTTTTTTTTTTTTTTTTTTTGCAAATAATAGTGCTATTAATTTATTTCCACAACATTTGGATGCATGCACTAAAGCTTGTGAATTATTAAAAGAATTTAATGATGCTACCAATGCTTTGTCTGGCGTGTATTATCCGACTACACATTTATTTTTAGTTTATGCTGTAAATATTGTTGGCAAGCTCTTTGAATATCGTGATGATCCTATATTGCATGGTGCTATTTTATGCATGAAATCAAAATTTTTAGAATATTATAGAAATATTCCTATAATTTATTTAATTGCAATGTGTTTTGATCCTCGTTGTAAATTAGTAGGTTTAAATACATTTTTACAAAATTATTATGAATGTTTAAAATTAAATGATCCTACAAGCCCACAATATGAAAATGTTAACAGTGTCCATATTGAAATAACAAATTTGTTTTATAGTATGTGTTAAGAATATTTGCATGCTAATGGTCCTTCGTTGAATATTGGTACATCTTCCCGAAGTAGTTCACAAGGCTCGCAATCAACTCAACGAAGTAGAGGCTTTAACCTGCTATCTAGAGTGAGTAAAAATCGTCGGACCAGTGGGACGACAAGTTCATCATCATCTCCAACATTTTACTACTGTGGCCGTGGTCTTTCCACCACTGCAAAACATTAAGATCATCATTATCATTAACCAAAAATACAAAATCAGTATTTAAATATACTTCTGTCCCGGATAATGCTGGAGATGATGATGAACTTGTCGTCCCACTGGTCCGACGATTTTTACCCACTCTAGATAGCAGGTTAAAGCCTCTACTTCGTTGAGTTGATTGCGAGCCTTGTGAACTACTTCCGGAAGATGTACGAATATTCAACGAAGGACCATAAGCATGCAAATATTCTTAACACATACTATATAACAAATTTGTTATTTCACTATGGACACTGTTAACATTAACATATTGTGGGATTGTAGGATCATTTAATTCTAAACATTCATAATAATTTTGTAAAAATGTATTTAAACCTACTAATTTACAACAAGGATCAAATCACATTGCAATTAAATAAATTATAGGAATATTTCTATAATATTCTAAAAATTTTGATTTCATGCATAAAATAGCACCATGCAATATAGGATCATCACGATATTCAAAGAGCTTGCCAACAATATTTACAGCATAAACTAAAAATAAATGTGTAGTCGGATAATACACGCCAGACAAAGCATTGGTAACATCATTAAATTCTTTTAATAATTCACAAACTTTAGTGCATGCATCCCAATGTTGTGGAAATAAATTAATAGCACTATTATTTGCAAAAAAAAAAAAAAGAAAAAAGAACATAACAACTCTTTGTAAGGAATAGTACTACTGAGCAAAAGAAACGTAGAATTCCAACGATTTGGTACATCTCGAGGAAATATTTTTTTTAGGTGCTTTTTTTGATATACAAAATCTATTAAATTCTTTTTGTGCATTTGGATGTCTCCACAAATAAAGAATAGCATCTCTAATGGGTTTAATACTACTTTGAAGTGATTGTAAACCGGCTTGAACACATAAATTTAAAACTTGACAAACACATCTTTGATGGAAAAATTTACCACCAAAATATGGACCACATAACTCCCTAAGTTCAGAGATTGCAGCAGTATTATTAGAAGCATTATCAAAACCAACTGCAAAAATTTTGTTAGTAATTTTGTATTCATCAAAAATACCTTGCAACTTACTATAAATATTGTGTGCAGTGTGTGATTCATCAAAACAACGTAAAGCAAGAATTCGTTTTTGTAGCACCTATTCATGATCTACCCAATGACATGTAATACCTAAATATGAATGTTCTCTCCAATGATCACTCCAAATATCAGCACAAATAGTCACCCGCCCAGAATGTGTTTCCAATAGAGAAATCAATTTTTTTTTCAGTTTTATATAATTTATAAATATTACGAGCAATAGTTGTACGCGATAAATCACACATTTGAGGATTTAATGCACCCCGACAAAATTCTTTAAAACCCACGTTTTGACCAAAACTAAAAGGTAGACCATCTATTGCAACCATTTCAGCAATCGTGGATCTATAGTTCTCATCTATGTAACGAAATAAAGCATTAGATTTACTTGTGTACCTGCCAAATTGTTGTTGTGTTTGGGTATTTACCTCTTTGTCCGGATGCTTTGAGTTTATATGTTTTCTATATGTCCCGTAGCCACCGAATTTCGACCAATTGCACTCCTTATTGCAATACTTACATTTTACTACAGTTGTTCCATCAGGTTTTTCAACTTTCGTCATGTGTACCCTAAAAATATCATATTTTAGTTTGGAAGATATGGAAGGTTGATCTTCTTCGCCTTCATTGCCCTGGCCCTGCAAAAATTCTTCAGTAGTAGGGTTGTTAGATTCAAAAGAAGAAAGAAAGGGATGAAAGCCAAAAGAGGCACGTTGAGGGTCATTTATAGCTAGTTGAGGGTTTGAGTTTAAGTCTTTCTAGTATGATTATTGTTGTAAAAATTGGTGGTATTGATATTCGCTTTGAAGTCCCTGAAATGAATGCCGTGGAGGTTCAAGATAAGGAGATTCTCTTGAAAATCCATGAACGGAATGTCGTGGAGGTTCAAAAGAAGAAGTAGATTTGCCACAATTTTCACGACTCCCACTACCTTGCCCTCTTGAGAAAAAGATGCTCTGCTTGAACTATTCATGGTAGAAGTAGAAATTTAGAGATATAAAAAATGTAGAAATAAATAATAAGAGTTCAGTGAAAGTAAGTATTGAAAATTGTTGGAAATGTAGGCAAGTTGCAAGTATTCAAATTTCGTAGAATGAGAAAGTAAGAGAATAAGAATTTAGAGTATTGAGAGTTTGAGAGAGTGTGAGAAAGATACTATAATTTTGGGTGAATTAAATATTTTCTGAACTCAAGCATTTATAGAAGGTGAAGTCTGAAGAGTGAATGCCTGAATGGTGAAACTTCAAATGGTTTTAAAAAATGACCATTTTTCAACGATCATTTTCAAAATTTTTAAAATTTTCGGAACATGAGTGACAAAGACTAGCTTTGAGTCTTGTGGACAAGACTCAAAGCTGAGTGCAAATACTCAGGCGTCAGCTTTGGCCTCTAAGATAGCTGTTGCCTGTTGGCTATCTTGGAAAATGGAAATTGAAATTGGATTATGGATAAAGGCATAAAGACAACTGGCCAGATCACTTTGCTTTTAAAAAGAAAATTAGGAAAAATGAAAATGTTTTTCAGGGAAAAGCTTTTCCAAAGTTGTTTGGTCTGATATTATTGTAAAAATGAAGGCATCTTAATTACTCTGAACTTTTTTATAAACAGGAGGCTGTCCAGATATTGAAGGACGGAATCGACTTGATAAGCGATTCAGAGAAAGCTCTTTCAAACTTACTATCTGTTATGTACGCAAGAATACATGAAGAAGGAGAAAAAAATATATTAATGGTGTATATTAACTTGCAGTGTAGTAAGGATTACATGGCATATATACAACTACATTCTAACGGTAAAAAATAATAGAAAAGGTAGAAATGCATGTAATTAGGCTATTTACCTAAAAAGCTACATTAATAATATGGAAATAATATAACTAAATATATACATAATTAATATAGCAAATATTCTTCTACACTCCCCCTCAAGCTCAAGGGTGGTACATGAGCTTGGAAGTGATGACGTCGAACGGTTGAGGAAGGAGGCTCTTCGTAAATATGTCGGCTAGTTGTTGATTAGATGGAACGAAAGTAGTGCGTAGTGTGCCGTCATTAATTTTCTCTCGTACGAAATGACAGTCGATTTCCACATGTTTAGTCCTTTCATGAAAGGGCTGGGTTATTGGCAATGTGGAGAGACGCTTGATTGTCACAATGCAATTGTGCAGGATGAACTGGTATATCTAATTCTGATAGGAGTAATTGAAGCCAAGTGATTTCACTAGCTGCATAGGCCATGGCACGATATTCAGCTTCAGCAGAGGATCGTGATACTGTTGTTTGCTTCTTTGTTCGCCAAGATAGGGGACTTGTTCCTAGAAAAGTGCAGTATCCCGTAGTTAAGCGTCGTGTGGTTGGACATGAAGCCCAATCAGCATCACAATAGGCATGTAACATTAAAGACCTATGTGTAGATAAAAGAATGCCAAGATCTGGTGAATTTTTGAGATAACGCACGACCCTAAGCGCGGCTTGCCAATGCATGTCACGTGGTGCAGACATGAATTGCGAAAGGAGATTAACTGCATAAGTGATGTCTGGCCGAGTGACTGTGAGGTAGAGCAAGCGACCAACGAGTCGTCTATATGTGGAAGGGTCTGCAAGAAGTTCGCCTGTGTTAGGAGTGAGTTGGTGGCTAACCTCTATAGGAGTTGAGGCGGGTTTACAAGCCAACATTCCTGTATCTGAGAGAATTTCAAGGGCATATTTCCTTTGATTTAAAAAAATTCCAGCAGAGGAACGTGCAACTTCTATCCCAAGGAAATACTTCAATGATCCCAAGTCCTTTAGTTGAAATTGATGCGCTAGGTACTGCTTGAGGATAGTAATGATGGTTGGATCATTACCTGTGATAACAATATCATCAACATAAACAAGCAAAATAGATAGAAATTTTTCACGTTTGTAAGTGAACATGGAATAATCTACTTTAGATTGTACAAAACCAGCGTTGGTGAGGGATGTGGAAAAAGTCGTGAACCATGACCGTGATGCTTGTTTGAGCCCATAAAGAGATTTGTGGAGACGACAAACCCGATTCTCCCCCTTTCGCCTAAAACCTGGAGGGACTTGCATATAGACTTCTTCATGAAGTGTTCCGTGAAGGAAAGCATTAGAGACGTCAAGTTGATGAGTAGCCCATCCTCGTACGGCTGCGATGCTAAGAACTGTACGGACTGTGACAAGCTTTGTGACAGGAGCAAAGACATCGGTGAAATCAAATCCTTCTAGTTGAGAGTATCCTTTTGCTACCAATCGGGCTTTGTATCGCTCAACAGAACCATCAGGTTTGTATTTGATACGGTAAACCCATCGACATCCAATAGCGGACTTACCAGGCGGTAGAGTTGTTAATGACCAAGTATTGTTAGCTTCTAGAGCATGTATTTCTTCTTGCATAGCTTTTTTCCACTTAGGGTCAGTTTGTGCAGCAGAGAAAGAGGATGGCTCAGTTTCTTTGGTGATATTGTTGATAAAGCAAATGTGATTGGGATTGTATGCTTTAGAGTCAAGAAAATGAGAAATGGGATATTGTGGCGTTGTAGACACATTGCATATGTAGCTAGAAAGGTAACTGGGAGGTTTATGTTGCCTTTGAGATCGTCGAAGGGAGTTTGGTGGTGGTGGTGGTGGAGAATTGGAGCACGGTTGTGCATGTATGGGTGAGTTAGTTATGGAATGATTGCTTTCAGGAAAAGGTGTTTCTAGAACAACAGGCATATTTGTGGTTTGTGCTTCAATGGGTGGTATAGGTAGTGGCAATATAGGGTTGAGAGTTGCTTGCGTAGCTAAAGTAGGTTCATATTTAAAAGGAAAAATATTCTCATAAAAAACAACATCTCGACTCACAAAAACTTTATTAGAGTTAAGGTCATATAGCCTATAGGCCTTTTGACCTTGAGGATAACCAATGAAAATGCAACGTTTTGCTCTAGGATCAAACTTATTAGGGTGATTTTGTATGGTAGATGCATAACATAGGCAACCAAAAGCACGTAAGGTAGTAAAATCAGGGGAATGTCCAAAAAGGACTTCAAAAGGAGTTTTATTTTGCAAAACTGGGGTAGGGGTACGATTGATAAGATAAGTAGCAGTTAAAACACAATCGCCCCAAAATTTAAAGGGCAGTCCTGCTTGAAAGCGCAGAGCACGTGCCACATTGAGAAGATGGCGGTGCTTGCATTCAACAACCCCATTTTGTTGGGCTGCGCTAGGACAACTGAATTGTTGCAAAATTCCATATTGAAGTAAGATATTTTGAAAATCAATTTTTGTGAACTCAGAACCATTATCAGAATGGAAAGTTTTAACGCATGTATTAAAATGATTCTTAACATATGCTAAGAAACGAATAAGCAACAAAAAAACATCAGATTTGTATTTCATCATAAAAATCCAAGTAGCTCTAGAATAATCATCAACGATAGTTAAAAAATAATGATGTCCAGTCCGGGTAGGAATAGAATACTTACCCCAAATGTCAACATGAATTAAATCAAAACAAGCAGTAGTTGAAGTATGACTGATAGGAAAAGATAAGCGTGTTTGTTTGGACATATGACAAATATCACAAGGATCTTTAAAATCAGAACAACCTAGTGTAGAAATTAAATGTTTAACAACTGAATGAGATGGGTGACCAAAACGAGAATGCCATGTATTAGGAGTGATGGTGGTTAATGCAGTGATTGCGGTGCATCACTAAAGAAATATAAGCCATTGCGTTCATGGCCCCGACCAATCTCCATCTTCGTTGAAAGGTCCTGAAACACGCAATAATTAGGAAAGAAAATGACAGTGCAATTTGAATCTTTTGCCAATTTTTGCACAGATAGCAAGTTAAATTTAAATGTAGGGACATATAAAACATCAGTCAAATTAATATTCGGGGATATACGAGCATGTCCAATACCACATACAGGAATTGCATTACCAGTAGGAACAGATATATTTTTCACAATATTATTATATTTAGGCAACTCAGTAAAAATAGAGAGATTGAAACAAACATGATCAGTAGCACCTGTGTCAATAACCCATTCATTTGAAATATTGAAAATAGAAGTTAAGGCTAGAGACTTACCAACGAGGTTTGCTTTAGGCTCCTTTACCTCTTGTAGCAATCGGATTAATTGTTGAAGTGATTCGGAAGGAATAGGCGAGGTTGACTGGGCCGTCATAGGTTGACTATTAGTATTTCTTTTTTTGTAGAATTTGTGCCCGGGAGGATACCCGTGAAGTTTGTAGCAAACTTGTTGCGTATGACCAAGTGTCCCACAATGAGCACACCGTGGTCGTGCTCGATTGTTACCCGGACGAGATGGGGAGGATGATGCATGCACCCTGTTTGTTGTAGAAGATTGGTTGGCAGCGGTAGTAAATTGAGGCATGGAGGATATATGAGATTGCAACGGGGCTGGTGCATCAATATCAATCCGGGCTGCTTGAAGAGCCGAATGATCCACTGGATGTCCGTAACTTTCGCTCTGTACACGTTGTGATTCTTCTTGAAGCAATAATGAGTAAGCATTTTTAACTGTAGGAAGCTTACCATTAAGCAACAGTTGGCTCCGTGGTTGAGCGAAAGTGTCTCGAAGGCCCATGGGAAATTGCATCAGTCGGCGACGCTCCGTTTGTGCAATGTATTCCTTGCGAGCAGAGCATGAACATTTAGGTGGAGGATCCAACAGGTTTATTTCGTCCCAAAGCGCACTCAAATGATTATGATAATCTGCTATGGATGCATCACGTTCGGAAAAGGTTGCTATACGCTTTTCAAGATCATAGATGCGAGGTCCATTCGCGGTAGAAAATCGTTCTTGTAAATCTATCCAAGCGGAGTAGCGTCAGTGGCATATAGGACAGTGTTAGCCAGTGATGAGTGTATTGAATTGAGGATCCATGACATCACCATGTAGTTCACCCGATGCCAACGAGCGTGATCAGGATGGACAACATCTGGCATGAGAAGGGATCCGTCAACAAAACAAAATTTGTTGCGCCCTTTAAGGGCTATTGTCATCGCCCGTGCCCACGGATTTTAGTTATCAATGCCGGTGAGAACATTGCTAACGAGCGTGGTGCCCGTGCCATCAGAAGAGTGGAGATAATATGGATTTTCAGCGTCGAAAGGGATGATGACGAGTTGCTGCTGAATGGCAGAACCACTAGTATTGATGGTAGATTCATCTGTAGGTGTTGTTGTAGCCATCTTTAGAGACTAGAATAAAGTGCCAAAAGAAATCAACAAAGATGAATAAGCTTTAAAAAATAAAAACCTTCTGATACCATGTTATGTACGCAAGAATACATGAAGAAGGAGAAAAAAATATATTAATGGTGTATATTAACTTGCAGTGTAGTAAGGATTATATGACATATATACAACTACATTCTAACGGTAAAAAATAATAGAAAAGGTAGAAATGCATGTAATTAGGCTATTTACCTAAAAAGCTACATTAATAATATGGAAATAATATAACTAAATATATACATAATTAATATAGCAAATATTCTTCTACACTATCTTATCCTTTTCATGAAACCTTGTCAAGGTGATTCTTTAATTCCCCTGGCAAAATTGTGACAAAATGCTATATGACATATCATTGTACTGTGTACATAATGGTGTTTGTAATGTTTTGACTTCTTACTGAATAAATGAAATTTTATATCCTAAGT